CCCGCTACGCTAGCGCTCGCCCCGTGTCCTGATGACATACAAATTGCTATGATAAGTTATTCTGGGATGGGTACAGATTTCTATCGGTTCTTTAATTCTTGCAGGTTCATGTTTACTTCGATTCCGTTTTGGATGTGATCCAAGTGTTTCATTGATTTAAATGGCCGCGCGGACGCGTACATGTAAGCGGTTCGATTAAAGTGAAATGCAACCGTTTATGTGCATGGCAGGCGACGACCATCTTCGACGACCCCAATGGTACTGCGTTCGCATGTACTTTCCCGTATGTGGAACGCGGGAACGGTAGTGCAATGTGACCAGTCAGGCATCTTGCCCTGTCCCGCCTTAACTCCTGACCTTTGCGTGGTTTTACTTAACGTTGCAATGCATTGTATTCGTGTACTGTGTTTACAATCGTTGAGAGAAAACGTGATTCAACTGAATGTTCATTAAATTACTTTGCTTGGTTAATTAAATACAACAATGTTACTCATTTATTTTACAATAATTATAATGCAGTCTGATCTTGCTTATAATTTGCTCTCTTAAATTATCTCTATGAGAATACAATTGCATGACTACTTGATGTTAATTAAACACAACATAATATTATCTCGATATTATTTTCTTAACTGTACCTACTATAAACAAAATTTTAAAAAGATAACAACTCATCGAAGAGTACACGGACAGAGCGGAATCGAATAGGTGATCACGACGTTTCGCTGACTTAGTACATGGTTGGCACACTTTCAGGGGGTCCCGCTTACACCGGCGACGACGTCACGTTTCCCGTGTTAAGGATTGTTTATTGAAGTCATGATGTGACCTTAACATTGTATTTTACGATTGTCTCGTCACCGGTCCGCACACTGACATTTCAATAGGGAAGGTGAGCGCGGGTCGCGCGTGATATGAGGCACGAACGAGCGCACGCCGCACGTCCACCCGGCTAGCACCGCTGCAGCCCGCTGCCAATGGTGCCACCACAGCCACCTATCATCCCTACCGTCAAATGTCATGGTGCTCCACAAACGGCACCTCACGAAGTCCATTCCCGACACCAACACGAAGGGTGTTGACTGCCTATCGACGTCTTATTTATTTTTCATTTTCTCTATTATTTATTAACGACGCGTGCCCCGGCCGTCGCATAAATCACTCGATATCGCATGACCCGAACGAGTGAAGGAAATATTTCATCTTTCGATAAAGCATTGAAATATGGGCACCATTTTCCACATTGACACCCAAGCGCCGCGTTGGGACTAAACGGGATTAATTTCGAGCCGGCCGCGCTTGGACGTTTGCATTTCTTGGATCGCCTCCGGAAGCTTATCGGTGTCGGTGTTGACTTAAATTTGCATCTTGTATATTTTCGTCGCCGCGTCGATTGTAAGTGCTCACGATTTAACGCTGGTATTAATGCATTATTCAGCGGGGTTTTCATTAGAGTGTCGATATCGGAGTTGCTGATCTCGCTCTCGTTAAAATGTACGGATGGCATGACGAGTGCTCGTATTGAGTGCCTCTGCGTCTCGTCAGCACGCGATCACCCTCTATCGACACTTGCGGTGCTAACTCGAATCGCTGAAAAACGCATTCACAACAGCGTTTTACGGGCGAGTGTTTGAATTCTCTACATTTCTTATCCCATTATGCATATTTTATGCCTTTTCGCGCTGTGCTATCGTTTTGTCTTTCAATGGCCGTTCCTTTTTCATGGTCATAAATTTCGAGCTGTTTAAGTTTGCCTATAAAATATTAAGTGCCATTGAAGACATGCCACTACGTGTCGTTCAATAGAAGCAGATAATCATAAAACATTAGGAAGCCGCTATGGGCGTTGTTCCCAGGCTCACGGTTGCGTGCCACTTTGTCATTTAGTTGGGGTGATAAATATTACTCTGGACGTAACTACGAAGTTCTTCGGAAGGCTATTTTTATTGTTCCTCGCCGAGGTCCTGTGCAGAAGCTGTGTGTTTATCATACTACAATAAAGTCATTATAGCAATTTGAGAGCTGTGTGGTGGACTGGTTATTATGGATTTTTCGTAATCATTTTAACGCTTTATTTGAATGACCAATTACTCGCATGCAACATCGTTTACCCCAAGGCGTTTAACGCTACTTAATAATGCGTGTCATCATGAGAAATGAAACATGTATGCTCATAACATTTACAAAGATAAATTAACCCTTTGTATGGCCGGGTTTGATTCCACTGATACCAACATTACTCGCAAGAAACTAAGGCTCGAGCTTTTATGCTGCCAAGACTGCACACGTGTTAAGGGGAGGCTGCAAAATACTTGTACATTGACATATTGCCCGTGTCTGGTTACACTTAAAATACGTTATTTTTTTATTTGTGCAATTTGTAAGCCGTCGTTAAAAGTCGTACATCTCATAATTTTCCTTGTACAAAAAACTCAAAACTTTTACGGGATTTTTTTCAATATAGCTTACATTTGACATTTGACAAATTAGGGCTTTTATAATTTACTTGCAACAAGTACATTTTGTATTTTTAACTCTCACCCACATTCAGCTATCAGCTAGCTAATTTGAAAATAAAATGGTTGTTCCATTACACATTTTTACAAGCTTTAATTAACGTAGAGCCTTGATGTAGGTCAGTTCATTATATCTTTATCTTTTTTTCATTTACTTATCTGACATTTTGCATGCCACCTTAACCGCATTCATGCTACACAATTGTTAGTATCAGGCTATGGGGGGCGTCGCGTTTATCAAAGGCCGGCTAATTAAAAGGCTAGTTTGCAACAACCAGTTTAAGAAACTGGCGCGACCGACAGGTTTGTCAACCCCACACATGATACACTCGCGGATGTATGTGGTATACTTTCGATGTTAACGAGCGCACATCCCGTACGCGAACGCCCTAAATAAAGTGACACACAGATGGTGCCCGGTTAAAAGACGTTCGATGTTAACACGTCCGCGACAGGTTTTAACACGACGTTAATTACACAGATATTGTATCCCGAAAGTCATTACGTGTTATGGTGTTCTAATTGAGATTGATGAATGGAATCTATTAGCAATTTGACACCTTCATCTATATCAGAATCTATCAAAGCGAAAGGTCACTGACTCACTTATAACGAATTCTCGGAAACTACAACTGCTAGGAGTCTCAAATTTTGCATGGGTGTTCCTTTTAGAACGTAGGTGCTCACACTACTCACTAAGATTAAAGATTTCCGAAACTCTATCCCTAAGGGGGTAAAACGTGATCCACGCGTAGGAACGACGACTTCGTACGCTTGCGCTTCGGACTTTTTAATAAACGCTAAAGCCATTCGATATTCTTTCAGAACCACATAGCTTTTTATATGATAGGTATCATGTTATTTATAATTATTGTGAGCTTTTGCTGGGTTCTGCTGAAAGCAGTCAAAACATCTGTCAATTAAATCGGCTTAAGTCAAATTTATTTCTCAGATAAAATGCCTGTTTTTAATTTTACTTTATTCAGCCATTATGATAGCATGAGTGTCTAAGAATAAGTCATCGTTTTACTAAAATATTGAGTAAGCTTAAATATCCCACTATTAGCAAAAAAACTGCGAAAAATACTTTTTACACCTGCAAGTATCTTGATACTTAGATATGATTATGATAAGAGCAGATCAATGCCTCGCACGTCTATGCCTTACATAGTAAAACACCAATCTTGTAACTAACATATTTTAGGTACAACTAGGGGCCGTTCAAGTATTACGTAAGCAGATTTCTTACCATTTTTTACCCCCCCGCCCCCCTTGTCATCAAAAGTAAGCAATGCACTTACCCCCTCCCCCTATGCTTACGTAAACATTTTTAGTTATAACTAAATGTTTTTATATTGTCATTTTTAAAATAGGAAAATTCATGAAAATATTAGGTTTAACTGATACACATAGAGTAGGGAATAGCGCACGGTAATTTTCCTAATCAGTTCTCAAAGCGAGTGCCTACGCATATGTATTATTTGCGGGAATCCCCGAAAAAACGTAAATAACTAACGATGACGATCATCATCTAGACCCCCCTACCCCCCATGTCATCCAAAATAAGCAAAACAGAGACCCCCCCACCCCCCCTTGGTGCTTACGTAATACTTGAACGGCCCCCTACCGGTAATTTTTTATCTGTAACCCGATTAGTTCCAGAAAAAAATATATCAGTAAATTGTATGTATAAATCGGATCGACGTAGTGCCAACTCATTATAAGTCCCGTTGCAGAAATGCAATTAGGAGCGATATTGTGGTTATTGACGGAGACTTTAAGACGCTCACAGCTCACACACCGCAAAAGCAAAAACGCTTTATTGCTTTATTAGCGCTCCAAGTTTTTAAATTGACCGAACTTTCCCGATATTAATACGGAGTAACCCATTTATTTTCGACATTAAAATTTTATGAACTTACTTAATTCAAAAGCTCATATGATCTCTCATTAAGACATTTAAGTGAAATAATGTATGCATTTATTTTCAATTTTACTGAGAATTACAAGAACAATGATATAATAAGTCCAAGAACCAAGAACACTGGTATTATTATAATAAACCGCAATTTACCAAACACCCCTTACTTATGATGATATTTAATTTTGAATTCCCTCTATTAATTTTGAATTCCCTCAATATAATAATCATAATGAGATCACATTTATATTGTTTAGGGATCAACATAATTGAGTAAAACTGTTTGCTTTCATCATTATGTTTGTGCTTTACAGACAATAATATTTGACCATAATGGTATTCATTCCCATCGTCTCACGGTCGACGGCAATTACGTTCCATGTGATACCGTTCCACCATTGACTCGCCAGTGAAGGCGAAAATATTCAAAGAACGCTTATTGATTTAATTAAAGTCGAAAGTGTTTTGTATCCGCCGTAATTGATAGAGGGCCGCGAGTCATCGACACGGAATTAACACTGTCGAACTGTATCGTGATAATAATGCCGCTACGTTATAATTACCTTGTCGACGCCTGCCCGTGAGTGATGTCGGACTGTACGAGCACCTGCAACAAATACACACTTATAACTCACGTCCACTCAATTTACTAGTCCATTCTGCCAACAATAATTCTACAATTTATGCATCTCTGCCGCTCGCGAATTTACGACCCAGAAATGCGCATCCTGCTTTTGATCTAATGCTCTAAATAGTTAACTTGTGCTTCTCATTATACATGTCCACTTGATTAACATATTGTTATTTGTAAGTTAGCACAGACGCGTAGGTTTGAAGCCTATTCAATTAACTGATGCTGTTTGTTTATAGACGTAATAGTTTAAGTTCGCTTATAGATTGGCTTCATTATTGAGCTCAGACACGCACGCTCTATCTAGATCGGAGGCAGCGCCGGATGCTTATAAGTTCACGCCCAGCGCGAGGGATTAGATGTCGGGCAAACGGCCGCGCTGAAGCTTACACACGACTTAACACGTGTTTGTATTGCAATTTTAGATTGAAATGTCTTGCGATATTACGGTATGATGGGATAAGTACTTGACATGGGGACATCGCCCCGCATCGGACATTGAAGCGAAATGAATTATGCATGACGCTGTACAGTTGCGTAACATGTTTAGCTTATAATTTTTCAATCGTTCATAAGGTGTCTTTATGCCAAAGAAAGAGTATTTCCTTTTTCATGACTCAAAAATGCACAGTCAAACATCGCGACATTCATGTAAACAAAGCGCTACACTGACCGGGTTAAACTTGAATGGTAAATGTGTGCGGAGTTTCGCCGAGGAAAAATATGCCATTGATGCAGGCAGCGTGCGTGCGCCGGATAACGGTCACCACGAGCCGAATAAGTGGTTTAGCGTCGTACGCGGAATGATAATGTTCGCGGCGGACTTGTCACGCGATTGCGCTCGTGTCACTACCGGACCACTGCCTTTCATAGACCCACTTTCTAACCTTATGTCCTTGAACTGTTACCATATGTACAACTGCATTTCTTGAATAAATTCTCCATACGTACGCTTATGGAGTTAACCTTGTTTCACTTTCTGCATTGCATTTGCGGATGAATCGGTTTAATAGAGACGACGCATTAACACGGATCGTGGCGGGTCGGAACGTGGCCGGTGTCGGTGTCGTCGTCGCAACAATGCGCGCTAACGAGATATAGCGCGGCCCGTCAGGCGGGCGGCCTGCGCTGTCTCCCTCGGAACACCTCAATCCTCTTTGTTTACGTTAGCATCGGCCTCGCCCGCGAAGCCCGATCGCATCCCGAACGCAATAAACCTCGGAGCTAGCTCACGACTCCGCAATGTCTACTCTTTATCGCCCCCACCAAATGCGGTACGATCTTAAACGTATTTTAATAACTTCCACCCGCCGGTCGCCGTAATGGGCTCACCATGCAAATGCCTGTGCCCACAGAGCACCGTTACACACCGATACCGCCGGTAACGAACCGCCCCGCGAAATAAAGAAAGGCAATAATCGCAAACGGGAAATCCGATCAGGCCGCGGGGCCCGCTGGTATGACTGGGACCCGACGCTTCCCTCGCAAACGACTACTATGTAGCTGAGTAAACTGAACCGCTAGCACACGATTGCTAATCAAGCTATCCATCCGTCTTTAGCGAGCCATGAAAAAACACGCCGTGAAGAAAGTGCCCTTACTAGTTCCTGTGTACGATCCTATCTAAGATCGAATGAGGTGAACGGTAGTGAAGTTGATAGTGTGGATTCGAAGTTCCCTTTCGTGATATGGCGCGGCGCTTTCCCTGTCACAACTGAGCTCCGACGCTGACTCTTCCTTTCTACATCGCGGCGACAACGATGCAAGTCATCGCTAATGTGCACAAGTGCTAATCATTATAGCAAATCTCCATTATTTACAGTGTTAAACATTTATCTGATATCTTCATTATGTTCGCGCTGTGTTTATGTACGTGCCGAAATGCGGCAATCACAGCATTCTATCTAATAAAATGATGCTAATCCTGTCGGCTACTTATAATGAACAATGACGTCAACAAAAATCATATTTCAATTCAAAAGCCGCTTCATCATTTGCCAATGCAAACTGCATTACAAAATAAGATTAACAATTTTCTCACGTCCGCATCGAGATAGAGTTGGGCGATGACAACCTCTGCAAAAAGTAAGTTGGAAATCTAATAGAGTTTGTGGCAAGCCGGTTATTTGTGTTATTTTTTAGTTTCGCTGACGCTCAGGAGAAATGCTATGTAACGCTCGCGAACGAAGACGAAGCAACCTGACATTACTGTAATAACACCGAACCGCCCTTCTGTCATTACTGTGTTCACTTTCCTCGGGTAACTAAAGACGAAACGCTTTTTATTTTTCAAGGGTATATTCTTTACAATTGCTTTTTATATTCGTACCGCCTCGGGTCTCTTTGCCGCCGCGGCTAACGAAGTTTTGATGGCGAGTCTAGTTGCAATGAGCGTAATTTTTTGTTTACATTCGTAATATTCATTTAACTGCATTACAACAGAAAAGAATGCGACGTCCAATTACGTTAAATTATGAGTTTATTTCTTTATAATGAGGGTCGAGTTAATGCTTGCTTGTATTAGTACAAGATGGAAGTTGAGTCAAGCGGGGAGACGAGATCTTGGCGCCTAGACGCGGCTGTTGCTTTAAATGCTATGTATTCCCTTCAAACCAATCTCACACCCATTATACCTTCAGATTACAGACTGCAAGTCACTACCTTTTCATTACCGACTTATAACTTAGTCAACTAATTGACCTATTTTACATGATCGGACGTGTTCGTGTTTACCGTGATTGACGATGATGCTATAAATCTAACTGGTTGCCATCACAATTACAGGTTTTACATGGCATTATAATTTTTAAAACAAAAGTTCTGCCTACTATTTAATCGCAACGTAAACGATCTTAATGAAAATGAGTGTCATAGTTTGAATAAATTATTGTATTACGTTTGATCAATAAGTCTCTATCAATGGTCTCTAAAAGTTATAAAAGGCTATAAAGGTTTTAAATACCTACACACAAAATTAAACCATTTTTATTTTTCATTCTTTAAGTTATAAAATATTCTAAATAAAAGCGTGAAACCTACATCGCTAAAACAATAGTTCTCAAAAGCATTGTAAAATTAATGACCCGTGACTTATTAAAACTGCAATCAGGATGGATACACGAAACGGTGAGGAAATTTGAACAAAAACAAAAGACGCTCTAACAAAAGAAGCTTTTTCTAACGGTACGTCCTTTTCCTGGAGTTGTTTTTAAGACGTGCCGTTCATAATCAGTGCGATCAGGCGAGGTGTTACGTAATTGCAAGAATGCGGTGGCGTGCACCTTGCAGACGCGCCCGGCGGTTCCTGTTCGCATGTGAACCGTATTTATTATAATTACGTCGCTCGGCCGCTGACTCCGCCATCGATGAGACGGGAGTGCTCCCTGATGAGTCCGCGCCGATACCATCGCTCCTCGCCTCAATTATGTACACCCCACTTACACTTCTGAAAATCTTATCTATGATGCAATCAACGTTATGTCTTTATCAAAATAATTGCGGCCAGAGATTAAACGAAGCATCTCTCTTCCTCGATCCCCTCGCGGCGGCTGTGCTCAGAATAATCAGTCATAGATAACATAAACATTTGTATCTGTGCCACGCATTTTTGGTTAGTTGAGCAATGTGTATGCGCAGCGGTGATTCGAGTCCCGTAAGTCAAAGATGCCGATGCTTATCAGGGTCATGATGTGCATCGGAGATCTAACACGTCTCCGTTGGCGGACAATTAGAATATCAGGGTTCTCCGGCGGCATTAATTGGAGTTGCATTGGCAATAGTTTAGCGATTAATGCTGGCGATCGCGCTGTATGTGGGTCCGTTTGCGTTAGCGATATCGGGCGAGCAATCGTAACCTCTTCCCACATAATTGGCGTGTGGGCGCGGCGGTGGCGGGCGCAGGCGCGTTATCCCGATTGCCGCCCACCGGCGGCGAGGCGACGCCCGATTAGATAGCTCGGCCCCCGACACACGACCCGGGCAACACCTCCCGGAGTCCCGGCTCCCACTGCCGGGTAGCCAGGAACCGGGCGGAGATAGCGGGATTCGTGCATGCAACGAAACAATACATGCTCGTATTTCTGAAATTTACCACTCGTGACTGCTATCGTATGCCAGATGAAAAAGCTTAAATGTTTAAATTGAAACTGGATTAACAGCATCAGTAAATTACATAAACATAGTCAACAAACGATTCTATCTAACGCCAAAATGAATTTTCATATAAATCAACAGTTTACATAAATTCTCAGAGAGCCAATAAATATACTTCCATCGTATTAAATCAATAGCGTTGACTAATAACTGGTTGGTTGAAAATTCCAACACAGTTAGGATTTCGATCTAGATACCTTCAAGACCAATAAATAGCACATTAAGGACACCCAACGCGATCGTCGGTGCAATAGAACTAACTGCAGACAGTGCTTGACGCTATCACGAATCATAAATCGAGTTAGGAGGACATTTTCAGCTAATATTTTTAAGATACTGTTCAAATGGCTTTAATGCTGGCTTTTATGGGAGGCGGAAGATGTGACTACCATTGTTTGTCTTGGCGACCCTGTAAAATGTTAGAAATCGATAAGAGATTACTACTGATGTTCCTTAAAAAAAAATCTTAGTCTTCTCGTGGGATTCAATTTCTAAATGCAGTACCAAAAAGATAACTGAGTAAGGAGCGAATAACGGGACTGGATGTAGGAATAGCAGCAGCAAGATTGATGTTGATGAGCCAGCTGCTGCTAGAATGTCCCACAGCGCGGCGCACGCCTCCTGCGACAATACTCCGCCAGAGCTCTCATTAAGCGATAAGAAGTGCCAGTCGCGGCTCGTTACGCAAGACGAGACAGTCCGGACGCTTCATTAATTGCGTATTGTCGATGCTTCCAGCCAGCGATCACATCGCAGATCGCCCTGCCGATCTCACGACGTTCCTATTTCCGCCCGATATTCCCCGGCCGCGAGCTTCTCATATA